CTAATTTTAAAATGAAGATAAGATATAGACATTTCCAATGAAAAAAAATTTCAAGTTCAAATTACCTCAGAATCGTTCCCAATTAATTTTTTAATTTCAGATAGAGACACTGAAAACAAAATATTTTCAGCTCTACACCAAACCAACGAAAATTGCACTAGTTTTTTTTTCTTTTTTCCAAAATAGAACAAAAAGACTCAAAACACACAAAAACACTAAGAAAAACACAAAAAATAAATTTTATGATTTTCTTAAAAAATTTAGAAACACTAAAAATGTAAATTAAGCACTAAACAACCATAGAATTAAACCTACACCATTCTCCAGCAAAGACACCAAAATTTTGATAAGGATTGTCGTTTGCCTTCAAAATTAAACTAAAGCTAACCCTAATGCAATATAGGGCCAACCTTAAGTCATCTTCTAAGGAATGATTTTAAGTCTAATTTAAAGTTATCTAATAAAATAAATCACCTAAAGTTTGAAGTTGATTAACTAATTGCTAACCTATTTATCTAGTGAATTAAGATAGAAAGCTAATCCTAATTTTGAAAGAAGTGGCTTCTCAATTTAAGTAGGAACCCTAGGGTGTTGTTAATGAAAGATTTCTAGCCTTTAATTAATTATGGCAGCTCACTCAACTTCTCTTCCTTGGCTAAAAAATGCATTTACTTAAGAGAACTATCTTAAGTATCCTAGCTTCACTAATTCAATTTCTTAAGTGCTATTACAAGCCCCTTAGGTAACCTTACTAGCTTAGCTCTAAGATTAACCAAGTGTTTAGCTAAAATTCATTCCCAAGTGCCACTGCCCAAAGCTGTACCTAAGTTTAAAACTATGAAAACTCAAGCAACTCATCATGTATCCACCACACAATTACATACTAGGCTAATACAAGACATTCACCCATTGAAATCACATATTATCATGCAAATTCATGAAGTGGACAAAATTCCAGTAGCACGTAGGTCATGAAATTCAACTCAACAATCTTGTTTCAACATTACAAATTACAAACAATCATGTAACTAAAGTCAAATTGAACTACAATCAACAATAGTCATAGTATTCTAATGGAATTGAAATAAGATGAAAAAATAGTTGAGCTTAGCCAAGTGAAGACTTCAAAACTCCCCTTCTACCAACTCTCCCCTAGGATTCCATGGAGGCTCTAGCTAGAAAACATCAAGAGCACTTTGATTCCTCCATGAACACAACTAGGCTGTGGCATATGCTTCATGCTTCTTGGTGGATTGAGCTTCAAATCTCCTTTTAGTTGCTTGGGGTTGGTTCAGCCTTGAGAGAGGAAAGAATGGTAGAAGAATTGAGTGGATTTGATGGTGAAAAGAGGGAGAAATGGTGGCTGGATGTGCTGTATTGTAGAGAGAAGGAGGAGAAAATGAAAAACACCAAGAACAAGAGAGAGAAAATGTAGAAGATGAATGAGATGATGATTGATCTGATTTGAGGGGGTAAATGGCATGCTCCCCCTTGTTTCCCATCAGCTGAAGGCTTAATTAAAAAATAAGAAAAGAAATTAAAATGAAAATGGGAGCCTTGTCACACTTATAAAGTGGCAACCTCCTATTGATTTGTAGATGATTCTAATGTGTGTGTAATTTTTCATGTGTCATCCACATTATTTAGGCTAATTTTATATCCTAAAAATAGCATAAATCACGTGCAAATGCTCAGCCATTGACCTCAAGAAGTGTTGACTTTAATTGCCCAATTGATGCATAAGTCACATGCCACCTATGTCACATAAATCATATAATTCAATTAAATGGCATGTGATATAATAAAATTTAATTAATGTCCAGAATTAAATTCATAATTATAAAGAAAAATTTATTAAATTAACTAAGTTTTAGGCTGTATAAAATTATATTAAAATTTTTACATAATGGCAAACTGAAAACTAGGTCAAATTAAGACACTTAATAAAGTGTTGACTTTTTATTTAATTACTCCCAAACTAAAATGAATTTTAAAAATATAATTTCACCACTCATCAACTGGACATAAAATGCACTTTGTCAATTTTTCTTGTATATTTTTTCAAAATTTTAATTTTTGGATCAAAATACCCTTAGTGCACTGAACTTAGAAACTTAGGCAAAATTCTTAATTTAATGCGATGTGTGTACTTAAAGGTGATAAATCATTAATAAAAAGGTCCTAATTGACAAATAAAAGTAGGTAAAAAATGTGTTCTATCAAGTGCCTCACTCACTGTTGATTGTCTTAAATTATTTTTTAAAAAAAAATCTCTTGCTCTCTCTTCTTTCTTCACTAGTCACTCTACTATCCCAATTTGTTCAATCTCCCTCGGTGCCTCCTCCCCCAATTGCTCCCCCCACCCCTCTTGGTCAACCCCAACTTCTCCCCCACCCATCTTGGTCCCTCGCTACCAACCTTTCCCTCCCCCCTCCACCCCCAACCCTTTCAGCACACTCATAAACCTAGCCCCCATCCCTTTCTGCCCCTTACCCCTCTTGTCGCCTCCATCCTCCAGCCTTCCCTTTCCCCTCTATCGCCTACCCTCTAACCCCCCTAAATTCCTTCCCCTACCTTTCTCAATGCCTCCCCCTATCCCTCCCTTTTCCTTCGAACCCCCATACCTCTTGGCACACCCCTAAACCCAGCCCCCACCCCTCTTGCCTCCTTCATCCCCACCTCTCCCTTCCCCCTTCACCCCTACCCCTCTTGGCCCCCAACCACTCCCCTCCACCTCTACCCTCTACCACTCTCGGCCTCCTCCCTCTTCCTCATTCTTCCTTAGCACACGTACAAGTACCAATTTTTTAATTTTTAATTTACATATATTAATTAGTTTTTTATTTTTGTTTAATTTACTTTAATTTAATTTACTCTTTAATTTTATTTAATTACCTTTAACTATAGTTTTTTGTATAATTGCTTGTTAGGAGTGGTTGCCTAATGCCCTATGTTATGCTATAAGTATGTTTTTACTTGAATATAATTCACTTATCAAGTTCGATCAACTAACATGCTTGCATTATTATAGGTACCTCCATCATTTGTGTATTACATCAGGCAAAGGTGATAATTTCAGATTTCTTTGCCCTTATCACTTGATGGAGAAAGGTTATAGTCACAACCATTGTTAAAAGTATGACTTTCAACAATGGTTAAACAGATAACCAATGTTAAATACTTTTAACATTAGTTATATGTTTAAACGCTATTAAAAGTCCCCCATTTTTTTAAAATCAAAATCAATGAGTAACTTTTAACAGCAAACTTAGAACCATTATTGAAAGTTGATTTTTAACAGTGGTTTAACAATCGCTGTTAAAAGTCACATACTTTTAACATCCCTTGAAATAATAGCAATTCTGCAATCGCCGTTAAAAGGGTTTTTAACTTCTTGTCAAAAGCCTATCCTATAATAGTGAAGATGATAAAGAAAAGAACAAATCAAATAGTAACAAAATAAATAAAATGATGTTTTTTTTTTTGTTTTTTTATTGAGATTGTGGTTCTCCTATTAGAAGTGATCATATTCTTAGCATAGTTGGACATTAAATATAACACAGATATATCTCTTAGCAACAATTTGAATCTTGATATCACGTTGTGAATTACTAGTCTTTTTTGCTAAAAGAGTAAAGGTGCATTTTTGGCCCTAACACCTTTATTTAATATAATGACTTAAAACTTAAGTAACAAATGAAAAAAGTAAATAATTTAGAAACAAAAAGTAAAGCTTAAAACACTTTGCAAAGCTTACAAAATTAATTGTGATTCTGCCCCTTTTAATAAAAAGAACTCATTCGTTCACATCGGAAGTATAGGCATATAGTGTTCTTGACTTTTCAAGGATTAAAGTTCACTTCCCAAAAGTTGATGTGATGAAAGAGAAATAAAAGTATGTTAGTGATAAGAAGAAGCTTTTCCCTTAGAAGTGGTCCGTTATCACATCAAGGACCATATTTTCCTCATGACTGTATTTTACAGGCCATAAAGTAACCCCAAATAACATGTTGTAGATAAGAAGAAGCTTTGTCACTTATGGAATATAATTTCAATTATTGGACCATATTTTCAATCATTTTCATTGCATTATTTTATTTATGGTCAGTCTGATGGGCCATAGAGAATACCTCCCAAAGAAGGCTAGTGAGAAGAAACTTACGAGTTGTATGGTATATTATGCCTTTACAAGCGCACACGCGCACACACACACCAGTCTTTTGTCTTAACTTGATTGGATGTATTATATCTTTCTATCACCCGTTTGTTGGTACATGGTGTGCTTGACTTGTAAGTATACTTCAAGTCACACTTCATTTCATAAGAAATTGCTTCTAAGTATCTCTTATTGTAAAACTGCTTCCAAATGTTTTACTTGGCTTAAAGAAAAATACCACCTAATTGATGTTAAAAATACATGTAAATATTATAGTTTTTTACATACCATACATACATACATACATTGATGATGTATATTGGCAGAGCCTTGAAATAAGAAAGGTATATTCAATAAAGATACAAGTGAAGTAAAGCATTTCATGATTAATATGAAAATAATTGGAAGCAATGTTGTGCATAATTGCTGCTAAAAGTAGAACAGTTACATAATATTATTGCTATATAAGACATTCACTACATAATCAATTTATTATTTAAATATCTGTTATTACTATAAAGAAAAGAAGTTAAAATTATGCACTTTTAGAGTAACGTAGGGTACCTTAGAAAACACTGATGGAAGGATTTTCAAAGAATGTGTAATGACCCTATATTTTAATTTTAAAAAAATAATAAAAATAATAATAATAATTTTTTATATAAATTATAAAAATGGAGAATGGTGATTCAGTGAAATTTAAAATAATAGTTCACCTAAAATTTTAGAGATTAAATTCTTTTGAGCAATAGGCTAATTTCATTTAGTTTAAAATTATGAAAAATAAAATTTTAAAAGTGCCCATGTCTATTATGTTATTAAAGAAAAATAACGTGTCCTCTTATGTAATTTTCACATTGTCCTTAAGTTCAGGCTTCTTATTCCTCTCCGTCGGTCAGACGCACCGCCTCAAATTTTTCCGTCTCCTCCTTCGGCCTTTTTGAAAGTTCCAGAGCCAAGAGTGGTCGCTACCTCCACCTTCATTATTCCGGTGTCATCCTCGTTGCCGTTGTTGGTGTGAGTGTGTGTTAGAACACCTTCCACCATTGTTAAAGGTCCAGCTCGCGAATTCTTCCTATCCCCTGTTTCGCACTGCCAATCACTCACTTTTCTGAGTGGCTGTTCAGCTCATCTGTCCGTCGCCGGCTATTCTTCCTTGCTGTCGTGATGGGCTTCTGAAAGTGGTGAAGACGTTGGTTTTTCTGTCACTGTTCTCCGCTCTTTCCAGGCGCACAGATAAGGAGAAAAAAAAATCTGGAACCTTCGACTCAGTCTTCGTTTTCATTACTGTCTCCCTTCGTTTCTCTTCATGTTTTCCGGCGATCTTTCACTTCTGTGCCTTCGGCCATCATCTTTCTCTTCTCTCTTCTTTTCTGTTCGGTTGAATTTGGTGATTGAGAGAAGCTTCGAACTCAAGACCCCTGTTATTCTCCATCCTTTTCGTTCTCCTTCCCTGCTGTTTTGTCCGTCGGAAATATCCAAGTTTTCTGTGGATTCACCGCTGACGAGGTTGGAGTCACGATCACTGTGCTTCTCTTTCTCCTCTGTTCGTGTGCGCTGTGGGGTGCTGTCATCGAAGCCTCTCCTTCATCATCTTCCCCTGTTTCAGGTGCTAAAATCCATCTTCCTTCTCTGTCCTTGCTGTGGTATGGAGTGCACCAGACCTTCTTCTTTCTCCTTCATACTCGTGTGATTGCAACTTTCTGTTCACTTGTGCTTCTGTCATCGTGGATTGAGGTAAGGATATCTGAATCTCTTTCTCTCTACTGGTTTTGTGCGTGAATAGGAGAGGCAATAGGATATATAAACAAGTTGAAGATCAAGTTTTAAGAGCATGATTTCTAATATGTTATTCATTATAGTTGTTCGATTCAAACTTAGGAAGGATAAAAGTGGATTTAAATCTTGATCAAGCTTAACTAATTAATTCTTAGTAGGGGGTGGAACATGAGGAGCATAACTGATTTGATTTTCTTTAAGTTTATTATTGATTTGGGTTGAAGAAATGGAATTGGATAGGGGGAAGCATGACACTAGTTTGAGAATTGATGCCTGTAAGATATTTAATAAAATGTCTAAATGTGAGTTTTGACATATTATGGCAAGATATGTGTGGTGAACATATTGGTAATTAAACAATTACTGTTAAAAGAAAACTTTTAGAAAGGAAATTTATGTGAAAGAGGCTTGATAGTTTGTGTTGTTGTGTTAAGCATTAAGGAAGGCATAAAAGGAATGGGAAGGTTTGCTTTTGCTCTTGTTGGATTATTGTTAAGTTAATAATTTGATAAGAAAATAGTTGGCTCTATACGTATAGTTGTGATGTTAGTTGGAATTAATTTAAATGTTCCTAATTGCTTCAGGAATTAATTGATAAGTGAAATTAAAGGAGGAAGAAAACTTATTTGGATTAAAAGAATCTTGTTAATTAATGATGGTTAGCATATTAAGTACTTATTTATTTATATTAAGAGAAGAATAAAACAAGTGATTTAGGATTTTGATTGACTTCTTAGAAAAATTAATGGTACCCTTGGAATTAAGTGAGAAGTTGAAGTGAATCAAGCTTTAGAATCCTTAGAGAATTTTCAGGTAAGTGGATAGCGTCCCAACTAATTATTTTTTTCAATAAAAATTTCCTTTACTAAAATATTATGTTTTTCTAGAAATTATTTTAATAGCATTAATGCGATTATTGGATATTTGTTGATTAACATTTCTTTATTTTATGAAATTAACTTTACCAAATTTGAAATGTTATTTGACCAATTAAGTCAAATTTGAACTTTGATTATAAGATTTTTATTTTATCAAATATTAGATTGATACAGAGAATGATTCATGCGAGTTCAACGTTGGAATTTTTTTAAATAAATGCAAGCATGAGCATCGAATATGAAATTTGATTCTATCAAGTTTTAATGCTTAAAAGTATTCATGCGAGTTTGATTTTGAGAATGAGAAATGTATCTTGAATGTGATGATTTTCTTGCATGTTTGAAAATGATTTTAAAAAGGGACTTTATATAGAACATTGTTTGCTAATGGCAGTTCCGTTAGCCCTTGGCGCGCCATGGTACACCCAGCTAGCAAGGTGTTTATAGGAGGTGCTAGCCTCGTGCAATGGCCAACACACGTGGAACGGAGGGATGGTTATTCGTGAGCATCGTGCTCATGTTTGTTTCGTAGCTTTGGTTGTGTTTTGTTACTTACCCTCGTGGACTATGTGTCCACAGTTGTTTCGTGGCTTCGGCTGCGTTTGGTTACTTACCCTCATGGATTGTATGTCTACGTTTGTCTTCGTGGCAAGAGTCACATTTGGTTATCTGCCCTCGTGAACTTTGTATCCGCGTTTGTTAATTGTTCTGATAAGTCCTTGTAATATGAATTTGATTATTTGATTATTTTACATTCCATTGGTTTTTAATTAGTGAATTATTTATAATTATTTATTTTATTTATTTACTTTCTTGTAATCAAGTGATGATAATCTTTGGTATGATATTTTAATAGTTCAAGATTTTATTTAAACTTTATGAAATTCTTTTATTTTTGAAGTTTATTAAGTTTTTTATGGAAATCGTTGTCTCTTTGAATTGCATGATTGTTTCAAACTTTTCTTTTATTCATGTTCAATTATTTATTATTGGGACGTTATTCACTGGAAAAGATATTTTGATCTCAGATGGTATAGTTGAACTCATGACTCGAGATATCAACTGAGGAGTTTTATTGCTGAATTGAAATAGAAGAATTATTTTAGCCAACTCCTAATTTGATGAAAAATTTGAACTTTATACCTACATTGGCGTCTGGCCTTAGGTGCTCCACGTAAACTACAGGTAGGATCCTCATATTTCTTTTAAAATTGAATATCTGATTTAATATTGTAACAATTTCTAATTACTCTATTAGTGTATTTAACATATTAATTTTAAAATTTCTTCAATCATGGCTTATGGGATATGAGTTTTGTGGCCATATCCCGTGCCAGTCACACTAAATTTTTGGGGGTTTGACCATATGTATTCTTGTGTGTAGCAAAAAAATATATTATTTTATATGAAAGAGCATGAATTGGAACTTTGTTTCTAACATTATCAGAACCATGTTAGTAATTAATTCATAGATAAGTATGTAAATATTCTTTTAAATTTGTAGTTGTTAGGTTATCCAAGTGTGGGTGAATTTAAGAGAATGTAAGAAGTCTCACATTGAATAAAGTTAGGCTTAATATCTAATATAAAATAAAGAGAAAAGACTCATAAATATGAACTTTGAGGTTCTGAGTTAAGATGTGACATTCTTTGGTTACTCTTGCCAATCTCTCCTCTCCTTCCATTCCCAACAAGTGGTGTATTCTATTCTTGGTGCGCCTCCATTCTCCCAAGCTCACTAAACTCTATTACTAATGAGCTTTGATTATGTTTTCTATCCTTTATTGATTTGTTGCCTGCCTGCTTTGGCCCAATTAGTAAAAAGCCCAATTTAAATGGTGTGTGTTGTGTGGTTTATCCTTCTCTTTTGTTTTGTGTGGGTCTATCTTCACAGCCAAACTTTTTATTATTTTCCTTATCATTATATGTTGTCATGTTGTGTATATCAATAAAATACTTATTTACAAGTGGGTCTCATAAATTTGTGAAAATAATCTTAAGTCTCATGAGATGTGGTTGCATTTAATGTACCACGTAAAACAACACAAATTACCATTGGACTCACACTCCTTTAGCAGGAAACATATCTTTCTAATACTATTTTTTTTATGCTCAATCAAAGAGAAAATTTTCATTATGATAATTTATAAACCAAAGTGTGGCTATTTCACGGTCACCATATTAATACAACAACCGACCTAAGTCCATTTCTTGTTCAACACTTAATTTTGCAGAAGTCCAATGTCCTAACCCTAATATCCAAGCAAAGTAGGTCACTTGTGATAGCTTATGTGGCTTGCTTCGGTCGTTTTTTAGGCTGATGAAAATTTGATACATATTTTAGTATACAATAATAATTAACAAATATTTCTCACACACAATATTTTGATAATATCATGCATGTGCGCTCAAACATCAGCATTTGATCCAGTAAATGTGACTCATTTATGGACCAATCAATATTATATATTAATTTTTATACTAATATGTTTTCCCCCCTTAATTCGTAGGTGCTTAATATGTAGGTACATTTAAAAAAGAGTAAGATTATTTTTCCTCCTAAATTTTTTTTAGAACATTGGGCATATGTACTAGAGAGTAGGGCAATATTTTCTCTAAACAATTTTTTAGGAGCAAAATTGTCTTTTCATCATAAATCCATCATTTTCTTCATTTTTTGGTGATGTTGAATAGTTGTGGAGCACACGCATAATTTTTTTTTTAATTACAAAGCACACACAATAATAGTAAGGTATTTTGACCTATTTTGCCAGTAAAATCAAGCCTGGTTCATGTCATTTCTAATCCCTTTAGTCTATGTCAAATGGTTAAAATGGGATCCCTAAGCATGCATCCCACAACTATTCCACATCAATAAATAATGGAGAAAATAATAGGTTTTTGATAGAAAGAGGATTTTGCCCCTAAAAAAATTATTTGGGGGATATTTTCTCACCACTTAGTAGAGCCTACCCGTTGCTTCTAAAAAAATTTTACAGGAAAAATTGGTCTTTAACTTTTTTAAATAAATTATATGTCATGACAGTAGATTTAAAAATTAAGATTTGATTTTTTTTATTTTTTGATTTATAATTTGATTTTTTTTTATTTTTTGATTTATATATAAATCCTTTTAAGTTAATGTCTCACGTAATATCAATAATGATCCGTCAAAAATGAATTTTTATCAAATTAATTAAGAGTAGTATTTATGATTATTTTATATATATGCATCATGGGAAGGAATGAAAGCGTCGCAAGAGAGGTACTAGCTTGACAAACATGAGTGTCTCAAATACCAGCAGCCCCTTCCCTTCATCACGCTCTATCCCTTCATTTCTCTCTCCTTGCGTCACACTATTCCACCCCCCTTAATTAATTAATTTTCATTTTATTTTTTAATAAGGTACAAATGGACTATTTATTCAATATACCACCATGCCCCTGTTTAATTAATATATTCGTTGTTAATAAAAGTTAGTTGAATTGGTTAGGATTTAATTCATGATTCACAAGGCCATTTAAAATTCCTTATGTAAATATCTCTATTTGGACTCCAAGGCATACCTTGGTCTTAGTAAGCCCTTAGGTGGTCAAAATTCAACTACGAACCCAGATAACAAAAAAAATTCAACTAGTAACCAGGTAGTCTCTTATATGCCTTCGCAACAATTAGCTTTTGAGCATTGCCTAAAGGTTAAAAGTTTAATCTATTTACACATAACCTATAATAATAATAATAATAATAATAATAATAATAATATTCTTCACAAAATGATATTATTATTTAATTGTTAAAGTAAAAACGCCTGATCCTACAACATTGTTTGGTTTAGTTGTGTTTTTCATTCCCAAAAAACAAATATAAATAGAATATATTTTAATATCATGGTGGAAAATCCTATCGTGTAAGCTCATAAAAAGGGCATATTAAAAAAAAATACTATTTGGACACATAAATCTTAATCCATGAGAAGTCAACACATTAAATAAATTGATGAAGGATTCGTGTCAACGTACTTTGGGGAAATAAATAAATAAATTCCACAATTACATAACTGCAAAGGTTAACAGTTATGACGTTAACAAAGTGGATGGTTTCTATTTTGATTTTAAACTTTTCATGGATAATATGTAATTGACTCAAAGATGCTGTATTATAATATGTGCAATATGATGCACAAATATGTTACGCGATTGAAACAAATTCAGAAACAGGGTGTAATAATTTGGATCCAAACCAGTCTAAGCTATTGAATTATATGTCCAAAAACTCAAATAACAAACAGCCCACAGATAATAACTCTTTCGCTTACTTATTCTTATTACGAGTCTTCAGTAGCATCTTGGAATAGTATAGGTTCAAAATGACATTTTTATGCTAAATGGAAATTATTCAGATGATACAAAGTCAAAAAAAACGTGAAATACACATTAAGTTGTTATTTTCACCTCAAACCTCGTTCTCCATAAGCTCGTTCCATTGCTTAGTGAGCTTACACATAACTACTCTTTCAGAATAAAAAAAGGTGATTAAGCTTTTGCAAAGATGATGAAATGACAATACATTAATATGTGATATGATAAAACGTAATATTTAAATTCTTCTACACTAATGGCTGGCTGCTGGTTTAGTATTTTCCCCGTTTTGGCCAAAAACAAAAATTATTCAACACTATAAGAACTTTTGTTTATTGAAATCTTAGAGTACTGAGGTCTTGCATTTGGATGTATGGGAATTTGAATTTGAATTTGAACCAAATCCCCATGTAGATACAAACAAGTATATAAATTTGGATTTGATTTATATCCATGTTTTATTACAACTTTTTTGTAATTTTAAATTTCTTATACATTATAGTTATTTGAAATATAATTTCAACTACTCCAACTTTCTTGTTTTCTTTATATTTTTATTATTGGTGCCTCTAGTACTTTCATATCTTCTCTCATATTTTGTTCTCATCTCTTATCAATTAAAAATACAAAAGTAAGATGCTCGCTTTTAATCTTCCATTTTTGCTTCAAATCTTAGCTCATCTATCTTATTTCTTTGAAATTTTTTACATTATCCAATCAAATAATTTTAAATTTATGGATTTTAAATGTGAGATTTTAAATCTAAAAGTCAAATTAATTCATCAATCCAAATGTTATGTAATGGATTTGTTAATAAACACAAGAAAAGCATCATCAACCCCACATTGTTTTACATAAACGTCAAATATTAGTCACTGAATTCTCATGAACCACCTAAATCAAGTAAAACCATACTCTATATATATATATATATATATATGATCATAGCTAGAATCAGGTCTTTGATATGTTTACAGGCCTCAAGGTAATTACTTGCTCTTCTCGATCCTCCTTATCCTTCTCACCAAATATGATAAAATTTATGCTTAAATTGAGACGGCACATTGAGATGATGTTACAAGTCAACAAAGTCAATTTCACTTAGTAGCATTACCATATCCTCAATTTCTCCAGCTTCATTGGCTTCCTAATAGGTCAACACACAACAACAATGCACAAATTCTCCCACCTTGTTTTGTCTATGTTGGATTAAAATTCAACATATGAGACCACACATATAAATATTAAAAATGTGAGGTCATTATTTTTAATTAAGCTTAAATAAAGTGATCTATTTGAAAAAAGTTTAAAGGCTTATGTTGTATAATTGTCATAGAATTAATGTATAGTGACTGAAGTGGTATTTATAATTTGTTGAGGGGCTAAATCATATATCACAAACTTAAGTCTGTAAAGAGAGGTCATAGTCACTGGATTAGCGGGTGAGTTGGAACGTTCTCCATTTCCCTTGAAAACATTCAGAAATTCTCTCTATTCTCTATTGACTATCCAGAAAACACACTAGTTCATGAAATTGAATGCCAAATTAATGCAATGAATTCAGGTATACTACCACTTTCAATTTCTTCTATTCTTCTTAATTAATATCGAGTTATATTCAAGTTTATGGATTTGGTTGTAACTATTTTGTAGTTTAAGTATGAACTTGACTGATCAAGAACAATCATTCCAATAAATAGACCATCCTATTGAGCCATGAATTCATTCTTACTGGCCCCTTGTAGTGTCCTTATCTCCATATCTTTCTCATGGCCTAAGCAAGCTATCAACTTCATTGATAAAAATACCATTTGGAGAAACCTTTTGAAGCCAGTGGAAATAGGGCTCGATAACATTCCTCTTATCTTCTCCTCAGCATAGATGTGATCGTAGACATTGGAACATTGATGAAACTTGCTCTAACTTGCATTTGCAGTGCATGCATGACTATAGCTCTTGGGGTGATTCTTTAATTTCTTTTGATGCACCAATATCTGCAAATGCGACCATGTAAAATTAAGTGCATCTCATATACTCATTGTCGGGATCTTCCTGCCAACACAACATTAAACTTGGGGTAACAGCAAAAAATGATATAACAAAGAAGCTACCATGTAAAACATCTTATATATAGTAAATATACGATTTTTTTACTATTCATGGAATAGTTGAATGAATAGTAGTAGCGAGGCCCAGTGTTTCTTTTTTAAATGCAATGATATGTTTTTTTAACATTTTTTTGTTTAGCACTGATTTAAATTTTCTACAACTTCTATAATATATGTATGACTTGTTATTTTTTTATTCATGGTAATTGATTACCAATTAGCCTACATTAATTCATATTCTGATTTACTTTTTGCTCTCAATTTTTTTTTTGTTAATGAGTCTTGTGGTCATTAGATATAACGAGATATAAATGTGATAAAAATTAAGTATAAGGATAATGGTTATTCAAAAAAATGATTTTATAATATGGTAGAATGATTTTATGAGATAATGAAGAGTGTGTTGATATACTAACAAAATAAGCTACTTAGAGGGCTATATGATTGTAATATTATTGATATTAAGTGTACAGTTGTTAAAAATTACTTCTATTGACTTATTGAAAATTTTAATATATAAATGAGCCCAAAAGTACTTATCTAAAATTCTCTTATGAAAATTCAAAAAAAATATACATTTATTTTTAAGGGAAAATCTCAGTCCTAAAGTTTGGATTCAATTGTAACTCAATCCCTAAACTTTGACTCTTGCAACTTAGTTCTTATATTTTGAATCATTTAAATATTGGTCCCAATATCTTAAAAAATAAAATTATAAAGATTAAAATTATGTTAAAATTTATTACTAATATTTTATAATCTGTATAAATATTATAAATATTAAAATTTTAAAATATTTTTAATGTTTTTCATTTTATTTTTTAAAAATATAAGGACCAATATTTAAATGGTTGAAATTAGAGGGACTGAGTTGCAAGAGGCAAAATTTAGGGACTGAGTTATAACCAAGTTAAATTATAAGGATTGAATTATTACGAGTCAAGATTTAGGAACTGAGTTATAACAAAATCAAAACTAAATGGATTGAGTGATTAATTTTTCCTTTAACTAAATTTCAAAAAAAAAAATATAACAACACTCCCTTGGTTAACATACGATAGCAAAATCTTGCTTTTTTATATAAAAAAATCTTGAAAAAAAAAAAAAACCGTCTCGCAGGGGGCTAAATCTAGTTAGTTGGAGAAGTGCCCAAGCTCAATATACAATAGCAAAATCTTGCTTTTTTTATATAACATGACTTGAATTCCTCGATCAGAGTGTTCTATCAATTCAAACACCATTCATAATAAAAGAAATATTGAATACAAAAATTATCATGAAAACAAATTTTTCTTTCTTGAAAACTATAAGACCTGGTACTTCTACAAAAAAAAAAAAAAAAAAAAAAAACTCATCGGAGCTTTTCCTGTTTTTTCGTTTTTGTTAAATCTAGTCAGCCTCAGACCAGCCCTAAAAGAGAGTTAGTGAGTGATGTGTGTGCGTCTGTGTAAAAGATGATGTCGGATTTGTGAGCATTGAGCAGACCTAAAAATAAAAATCAATTTTTCATCTCCTTAAGAATAATGTTGATTGGAAACATGAACCTTTTGAAACACTTCAGGGTAAGTATTCCATTTACTTAATTGTTGATATTTTATTTTTTTGTTATCGATATTGTTTTAAATTTTTGAGAATTATATTGAAGGTAGATTAAAATTCAGATTAAAATAAGTAAAACGTGAAATTTGTACATAAATTTGATACACAAGGATTGGAATTTTATTCCAACATGCAGGTAGACATTATTTGAATATGTCTGTCATTATTTGAATATGTCTGTCATTATTTGAATGAGATAAATCAATTTTGTCCCAGCTAGCTCTCCAATATTCATATATATATATATGTGTGTGTGTGTGTGTGCTTCATAAATTCACAAATGTATTAAAGATAACATTCCTAATATTCTTTTACGGGAGCACATTTCTCATAACACATGTAATATTATTTAATTAATAAATTTAATGCTTACATTTAATGCTTGATCATGTCTAAAAATTAATAAAAAATCAATCTATTAAAAAAAATAGAAAATCACATCACTGACACAAAACTCTTCGACTAGGTTCACAACTAAGTACCTATAAGCTGGATTTCGGACTAACAAAGTTTTAAATTTTTATCAAATTTCAAATAATAAATTATTTTTAAAAAGTGACATTTTTTAGAAACATTTAAAAGAGATGTTTGAAATTAAGATTATTTTTAATCTACATTTTTCGTTTATAAAAAAAAAATACTAAACTGGTAAGAACAAATTATATTAAATTTGGACCACGTAGATGTTAAGCATGAAATCCAATTAGTAAGATCTCTCGTTCTTGTCCTTAACCTGCTTAGCTCTCAAGGAAACTCTCTTTCTCTAAAAAGCCTATCAAGTGACATCAAACAAATTAAAATTATAGTTATGTTTGAATCAATGGGAATTTTGATTTGAACTTGGATTTAGACCAAATTTTCCATTTAGATACATAAAAATATATGGATTTAGAATTGAAAGTTTTTAGATGTACGTTATAGATGAGATCTTTTTTGCAAGTTGAATGTAGTAATTAAATAAAATTTTTCTTTATTATTGACTCATGATATTATTCCACGATAGTTAATCGCTTGTCATATGAAGACAGAGGAAGATGTAGATGCCGCAATTTAATTCCAATGGTTACTCAAAAAACTTATCAAAATGCCATGGTTCTTTTTAATAAATATCAGTTTGATGCTATGATTTTTTTTTTGCAATGTAATTTGTTATCTGATAGCAAAATTGTAATATGTACGCACAACACAGCTCTTAATTAATGGAATCATGCTGCTCTCAAGTTCCTTTATTAATTAATTTTGTAATAACCAATAACAAAAAAGGAAAAATAAAACTAATTAAAATTTCAAGATATATATATATATATATATATCAATCAAGAATAAGGACTGGGATTATCGATTCAATTTCATTTCTAGCAAAGAAGCCATCATGTTGAATGTGCATATCTATTCTAATAATATGTAACAGTTTCGCGTAAACAGGGGAGACATTTCATGAAACATGGGAGTCTTATAATTCTCTAGATAGTTTGCAATATGCACACTCTCTCTCTAAACAATTATGATCATATTAATACACACACATATTCCTCAAGAGAAGGAAACTGATTGAACATATATATATATATATATTGATTTTTTTATTTTTTTATTGTGTTGTTATTATGACCCTCAAGGACATTAGAATCCTAAGTGCTAGATGACTTAATCAACTTAATGAAGGTTTAAATTAAAGAACCAAACAATTTAACTTATTGATATATTTCATCTCTCTTTTCCCACCCCTTTATTAATCAGGGGTGATAGAACTATTGATCTTTACACTCACCCTGTCCTACTCTTTCTACCAAGCAATTCCTAGGCAATATTTCATCTCTTCTATTTACTAAGAAAAACAACCATTCAAGAAATTATTGTAGCATAAAGCTAAAAATATTTACTATTATCTCTCCCAATTTCTAAAAGATACTCAACAAAAAGCAATTATTGTAGCAAAGAGAAAAATATTACGATTTGCAATTACCATAGCTAAGAGAAATAGACTTTGATCTCCTCACAACTTTGATACAAATATTGGACACAAAACACAAGAACTTGAACATTTAACAAGAAGGGAAAAGATAAAAAAGAAAATTTAAGATAGAAGAGAAAATTTGAAACCTATATCAAAAATTAGCTTCTATGAATGACGATTTCTAACCCTCCTCCTCCTTTTCTTTAGTGGACCATCCACCAAACTTGCAAGCCTTTGAGGTTTACCTGTAAATATCACAACCCAAAACATTGTTGATCCCAAAAAGGCTCCACATACATACCCTAGCAAGATAGGTTTCCATCCAAATTCAAATATATCTTCAAAACTTGAACTTTGTTGTGGTGATTGCCTTTCCCTATTGGGGTTGCAAGGGATCATTAGTTGAAAACCATGCAATTGCTTGTTTCCTTCAAAGGAATCACTTGTGAAAGTTTCAAATTGTTGACCCCTAGGAATGCAACCTTCAAGTTGGTTCCGTGAAAGGTTTAAGATAGATAAGAAGTTGAGATTAATCAACTCTATAGGAATTTTTCCAATAAGCTTGTTTGATGACAAGTCCAGCCATTCTAAATTTCTCAAATTTCCTATTGAGTTTGGAATTACACCAATGAGCCTATTATGAGAAAAATTAAGCCCCTTCAATGCTCTAAGCTGCCCAATAGATATTGGAATCTCTCCCTCAAACATGTTATTAGATATATCAATGCATATAAAAATAGTCAAGACCTTTTCCATATGAATATCATGTCCTTTCAAGGTCACCTCGATGGAGTCATGATATATTCCTGAGTAAGTAGATTGATTATAACCCATATATTCTAAACCAAGTTCTACCTCTTGATTTTTCATAGCATCAAAGGATTCGAAGTATGTTTCAAGTAAAGGGCCACTCAACTTGTTGTTGGATATGTCAAAAACTCTCAACTTTGTGAAGGCATAGTTGGATTTTCTGTTTAAATTAGGGATGAAACCATGTAACTTATTCTCTCTAAGAACAAGCACTTGCAATTCTTTGAGGTCTTGAACCCAATGGGGAAATGTATCATGAATGCCATTTCTGCCAAGATCTAAAACCTCTAAATTATTGCAATGGACCAAAGATTGAGGCAACAAGCCATATAGAAGATTGTCATTAAGATTTAAGGTCCTCAACTTGTTTCCCACCTCAAATGTTTCTGGTATGGTGCCATAAAAGCTATTGCTTTGCAAATCCAACACATAAAGAGTAAGGGTAGAGCTCCCAATGCAGCGTGGAATTTGGCCACTGAAGTTGTTGTGGGATAAGTTGAGAACTCCAAGTGAGCTAGAATTGCAAATTGTAGAAGTGAGCTCTCCTTGAAGCAAATTGGAACTCAAGTCAATGAAACTCATGTTTTCCCCAAAGAAGTGGTCGAATTGCATGGTTCCTGTGAGAAAGATTAAGTATCTAAGCTTCCTCCATTTTTATACTTTTAAAATAATATTTCTGTTTACTATGAGTTTTTAATTCCTATGTAATAAATGTATAGAAATAAAAGAGAAAAATCACATAATTTGAATTTTAATGAAATAAAATAAATCGAGTTGTTGCATAAATTACAATGAAATAAATAAGAAAAAAAATCACAACTCTGATCTAATATGTATTAAACTCCATCACACAAAATTATTATATATTATTAACCTTGACATGTTTACAAATAAGTATAAAACGTTGGATCTACCGAAAAATCTTCTTACATATGCGGGTGAAATCAAGTAATAGGAAAAGGGCCAAGGAAAAAAAATCAACTAATACTCTTTGATCCTATCAGAGGAACATAACAACATTTCATGTCTTTTTAATGTCTAGACGTGAAAATTTAAATTTATTTTTGTCTTTGAAAAGGTTTTAAAATGAAAAGAATTAAGAAAATCATAAATTATCCTTGGAGTGCCAGGCTAGTGGACTTTTTAAAAATTTAATGTTTTTTAAACAGTAATTATTAAATAATTATTTAATTCAAATTATTTTTAAATAAAAAAGGAAAAATTAAAAAGAAGTTAATAAAACACGTGGATCTATTGTACATGAGATGGAGGATTTTTATAAATAGAACACGAATGATGTGTGTGCAAGTGGAATTGAAATTTTCTACTTTTCATGTTACAAATATCATGTGGTCCCATCAATTCATAGCCACGTCCTTATGTTATATTGAGATTGTAATCATGAGCCATATATAGGTTTTTCAATATATTTACAAGGCTCTAAAATTGAAATTAACGATGAATACATCATAGGTGTAAAGAAGGCTAAAATTTTTGTTTTTATTTAAGGAATTAAAATAATTTCAGTTGCAGATTCTGGAAATAATTTATAGAATATAAGCATTTTTTGGGCAACACCCTCCTATATATAAAATAAATAAATTGACTTTTTTTGCAGAAGCCTGCACGTGTACGAACTTTTAATGACGTAAAAATTCAAAGTTATTGGTTTAGAAATTGGATTATGTTAAACATGTCAAGTATAGTATAATTTTTATTTTTAAAGGAATTTCATTTAAAAATTTTACAAACAATATAGAACAAGCGTAAATAATAAATGAAAAGTTTGTTAAAGTATAAAATGAAAATTTTGCAAACAATAAAGAATAAGCGTACCTGTAAAGAAGTTGTCTTCAAGGAGTATATATGCCAACGACATCCCATTAAAAGTAATGGGTCCACTCAAGTGATTTGATCCCAAATTCAAGACTTCAAGTTTAACAAGATTTCCTATTTCCTTGGGTATAAAACCTAGAATCACAAAAATTGATAGGTAATAGCATTTTTATTACAGAATGAACTTATAAAAAACGTAAAATTTTTATCACAATAAACATGTATTACAATTACTTCAAAAGATTGATGAGCCTTTAGATCCGTTTGGATTAACAATTATAGCAAAAAAAGTGATGACAGTTGTTTTCTTAAGAAAACATAAAAAGTCTTTTGAAGACAAATAACACGCGTAAAAATACCAAAATAAAAACAAAAGAAAATGATCTAGACAAATGACCCAGGTCCTCTACATGATCCTTGAAGGATTAAATCCGGCAAATCAAATAGACAAGTACGTAGAACAACGACAATTATATATATTAAAAATAATCTAAAGCATATCTAACAAACTTTTATATGACAAATTCAATAACCCAAGTAAAGATAAGCTGTAAATTTCTGTTGAAGTCATTCCTAAAAATTTGTTGCCCACAACTTAGTTTATAAATTGATATAATTTTTTTTTGTTACTTTTTCTCCTATTTATTTAAATTTGTATACTTTTCTCTCTCCCTGTCATTCTTTTTTTTTTTACTCAACCTTTTCTCTTTCATCTGATCTTATCCTTATTATGGAATGATTCAAATGAAGTTTTAATGTCATGTTATGAGTTTCTAAAAGCTTTATGTGAAGTTCTTCCATTTTATCATGATATGTTATTATATAAAGTTTTATGTAAAGTTCTTCCATGGTACCATGATATGTGTATCATGCCATACTTGTTAGTTATGTTTAATATTTAAATAGATCATGCTATCTGGAATGGTTGTGTTGCCATTGAGAATTTATGTCTTACTCCCAATTACTAACCATGTTAGGTGGAAATTTAACAATAACAAGAAGGAAGAAGAATTCAAAGAATAAAATAAGTGGCACAAGATTGCGAAGTTGGAGACTCATATTTTAAATCACATAAATTTATTTGATTTATATAAATGCATTCAAAAATAATGTTATGCATCCTTTACATGTCTAGAGTAATAAAGCATAAGTTGAAGCTATAGAAATTTCCTGGAGCTATGATTTAATTAAGCATGTAAGTATCATACTGGCCTGACACAGGATTTTCTGAAGGTCTATTAATGTTTCATTAAAATGTTTACAGTAAATGGACTCTTTTGAATCTGATAATTTTCTACTCATAATACAGACATCCTAATATTTCTAGGAAGTTTAAAACCGAATCAATTGGAGCTCTGTAGCTTGAGTTATTAATTTTCTAAGTGAAGTGTTAGAATTAGTCATGAAAACAGAGCAACTTAAGTGAATGTATTAAATGTACTAGTTAGCCCAATCAAAATCTTGTCTTATTTTTTTTTTCCTCATCTAGAGGGCTCGTTAAGGTTTAAAATGAATGAAGAATCATGTCAAATCAGTTTTGTGTAATTAGTTATGAATTTGTACATTTAAGGTGCAGATTCTGTCCAAGAAACAGAGCTAGTTTAGAAAAGCCATAAACTGTATTGTTTAGCATTAGTAAAAGCCATAACCACACTTTAGATCATCCTCATATGAATTCTTTAGATTTAATTATGATTTTTCAAAATTCAGAAAAAAATTCTAAACTTACTAAATGAACTGTAACTCGATGACTAATTTGCAATTTTTAATTCTTGGGCTTCAAGTTCCATTTCACCTAAACCATGTTACTTCTAATTACATAACAAAGCTGTTAAAAGTGAGGATGTAATGTTGCATTTTTTGGTAGCATTTTATTTTTTTAATTTCATTACTATAATTTGTAAGTGATTTCTTGTACGTATTTAAATATGTTTTTGTTTATATATAATAAATAAGATGAACACAACTCCAAACTTGTCTGTATTTTAATGTTATTTTGATATAAAAATATTCAATCACACAAAAATTATCAATTATCATTAAATCTAGTATGTTTAAGAGTAAGTCTAAAAATGATGTTAAATAAAACAAAAATAACTTAATTAATACTCTTTTCAACCCCATACCATTTAATGAATTTGCAAAATAAAAAATTGAAAAAAAATAAGTTAAACTGATAAAGAATTCAATAAGGAAAGAAAAAATATAAAAATAAAGTTAATAGCAGACGCATAAAATTTATAAAATGAAAGTAATGGTATTTTAGGTTTAATCCATTTCAATATTTATAAACAATATGAAATTATGAATGAAATGATGAAATACAAAATATTATTTTAGATATGCTCCATTTCAAAAATGAGATTTAAAGAAAAGGAAACATAAACATAATTAAGTGTATACCTGTAAATGAGTTACTATCCAAATCCAAATATATTTCTTTTAATATCATATATAGTTTTAAAACTTATATATAATAAATAACAAAATGCGCATCTCCAAACTTGTCTGTATTTTAATGTAAATTTAATATTAAACTTACACCATCTTGCAAAAATTATCAAATGTTATTAAATCTGATATCATATATAATAAATATCACAGTTCATAGTCTTTTGTTATTTTGGGCTTGTAATCACTAGGTAGCTATATAAATGAAACATTAAAGACTTCTAATAAAGGAAATTGATGACACATTTCTCTTGGCAAATTACTATTTAAATGATTCATGCACAAATTAATCCCTCTCAAATAAGCATATTCCAAATAAAGAAAGGAATTCCACCTATAAAAAAATACAAAATATTTGTTTGTTAATTAGAAATCTCATGAATTCATTTTGTAATTAGTTTTTGTTAATAGAGTCTTGAAATTAATAGAAAATAAAATATTTTGTCTTTGGAAAGAAAGTTAAATGGGACTCTTTCAATATATCAATTAAAATTGCACACTAAATTTCTTTCAAAGAAGAGATATGGTGAAATAGATTATGAAATTAATTTTCCTTGTCTAAACAGAACAATCAAATTATTTATATTTTGCACTAAAGTGATTTAATATTTACAAGGCTCTAACTTTAAACTTAATGGATGAATATCGTAGTATCTTATCAATTTATAGTATTAGTAAATAATAATTTTCTATCTTTTATGTATATTTATTCTAATACATTGATTGATATGACATCATAGGTAACAACAAATAATAAAAAGTCATTCTTTTTATATATAATCCACACAATTCATTATATTTTATAGGAGAAATCACATTCGAGGACCCAAAAAGAAAGTTATTCACAAATAAAGACCAATGACAAGTCTCATTAAAAAAAAAAAGCATATATTCTCATTTTAATAACAATTCATTCCATATTGATCCTTATTTATGAATAATTATCTTCTTAGGTTCTTGGTGTGATTTGCCCTATTATATATGAGAGGTGACATTGGATAATAATATTTGCAAACAATATTACAAGGCACTATCTACGTTCTTCAATTTTCCTATTGGTAAGGAATTAAATAATTCATAAAAACTACACACACTAAATGTGTTGGCCCACATTTAAATAGTTTAATAGCAAAATTAAAAGTCTAGCCTAGTATATTGTTAGAGAATACGCATATTAAAACAATATTTCAATATTCATGCATATGCATCAACATATCATGGATATAATTAAAATGAAAACGTTCCATTTAGTCAAAAAAAATATATAAAACATTTGAAGTTTTTTCCCATAAAATGTAAATTTGGAATTAATTGAATTTCTACCATCACTTGGTATATATGCTATATATGTAAATATTAATTTTTATTAGGAGAGAGAATAATAAAATTTCTGGTATAATTTTGGAATTAGTTGAATTTCCATTATTACTTGGTATATATGTTCTATTGAAGCCATGCATAGGTGGATAGTTTTTCCGTGAAATTATTTTTATGCAAATAAAATGGCTCAAGTTTTGGAAGCCCAAAAAAATACGTTATTTTTTAGGAGACTTTCAGGTAAATAAGTTGATCCAAAAAAGCAAACTAGCTAGGTAAATAATGATGATGTAATGTCTCCTACAATTATTTCAAAAATGGTACGTTGGTAAATAATATTTCTTTTTTTTTTCCTTTTACATGTCATATGTAAGAGACAACTGTATATTTTCCACAACAACATTGAGGACTTGCTCATATTGAGAAATAACACTAATACGCCCAATTGGTAGGACCAATAACCATAGATACATTAGTTCTCATGTGATGTGAGTATGTGTTTTAATGTGTGATGGATGGATTGTCTATATTTAAATACGCGTGCGCGTGTACATGGAGAAAACTTACCTTTGAAAAGAAAATTCAGGGAAAATGAAAGAGAAAAAGCATATCAATTCCAGTTGGTCCTGTCTATCATTTCCATCATTATATTAAAACAAATAGGGATATTAGAAATAATTAAAATATGTTTTTTATGATCAAAAAATTTATTTTTCGTTTTGAGAAATTTTCTTTTTGTGTGTTCTAAAGAGTTGGTCAACATAAGAAAAAAGGAGTAGAAAAATAAAATGGGCAACTCCATGCACTTATTGTGCCTAACTGAGTGTGATCAAATTAAATGAATGAATGATGAACATAGAAAATGAATGAAATGAGGAAAAGGAAAAATCTCATTTCAAATTTACCTGTAAATGAGTTGTTGTCCAAATATAATGCTTTCAAAGAAGTGCAGTTACTTATTGATTTTGGAATGCTTCCCTCTAAATAATTATCATAAATAGCCAACATTTCCAGCACAGGGAGTTGATGACACATTTCTTCAGGCAAACTGCCACTTAAATTATTCTTTCCAAGGTTAACCACTCTCAAAGAAGGCATGTTCCATAAAAGTGAAGGAATTTCACCTGAAAAAAAATACAAATATTTAATTTGTTTGATGGTTAAGACAAAGCTTATACTTACGGTGTGAAAATATCTTCAAGTGAAACTTTTGGAGGCATTATAGAATAAGCACTATGCTTGTCATCCTCAAAAAGCTGGATAAATAATACACAAAATTTTGTTGAAAGCATAAAAGTAAGGGATGGGTGGATTAAAGGGAGCTTGTAGTTAGAAGCTCTCACAATACTCTAATACTACAACAGATATAGGTGTCATAAAAAAGAATAAAAAATAAGACATCATAATAGAATGGAATGTGAAAAAGCTTTATGAAAGCATGTTAATTGCCATAAAATATTTCAAGAGTTAAGAAAAAAAAATATGATGTGAATATTTATTAGAAATAATACAATTATAGATGTTAAAAATAATCCAAAAACACACCTGACAAATTGTTGCAAGGCATATTCAATAAGTTAAGTGAAGATAATAAGTATGAAATTGTTGTTGAAACTACTCCTGAAAATTTGTTAGCCCCAACTTACTTGTGATATATATATATATATATATATATATGTATATATATATATATATTATTTTGTTATTTTCTCTCCTATTAATTTTAACTTTATATTTTCTCTCTCCTCATCATTCTTGATTTATTTAACTTCTTGTTCAGTAATTATCCTATTTTGTTATCTCTAAATTTTTAATTTCAAATTAAATAATTATTCAATAATTATTATATGAAAAATTTTAATTTGAATATATTATTTAATTTCACATAGCATAAATTTTGAACTAAACTGTAGCGTAGTTCCTTTCTATGTCCAAATGAATTATAATGATACATTTTATTTATTTGCTGAACTTAACTTTGAAAAGAAAATTTGAAGAGAAAATGAAAGAGAAAAGCATCTCAAACTCAATTGGTCCTGTCTATCATTTCCATCATTATATCAAAACAGATAAGGATATTATAAATAATTAAAATTATGTTTTTTATGATCAAAAAATTTATTTATCGTTTTGAGAAATTTTCTTTTTGTGTGTTCTAAAGAGTTGGTCAACATAAGAAAAGAGTGATAAAGCATGAATTCAAGCCATAGAAATTTCTTGGAGCATCGATTTAAGCGTGCAAGTATCATATTGCCCTGATGCCTGATTTTCTGAATGTCTATTAATGTTTCATTAAAATGCTTACAATAAATGGACTCTTTTGACCTTGACAATTTGTATGCATAATATAGACATCCCAAGATTGCCAAGATTTCCACAAAGTTCAAAACCGAATCAATTTCAGCTCTGTAGCTTGTGTTATTAATTTTTGAATTGACAGATCAGAATCAGTCTTGAAAACAGAGCAACTTAAGTGAATGTATTAAATGTATCAGTTCGCCCAATTAAAGTTCTTTCTTATTTTTCTCATCTAGAGGTATCGTCAAGGTTTAAAATGAGCCAAGAATCATGTCAAAATCAATTTTGTATAATTAGTTATGAATTTTTACAGTTAAGGTACAGATTCTGTCCAAGAAACAGAGCAAGTTTTGAAAAGCAATAAACTATATTGTTTGGCAATAGTAAAAGCCATAACTATATTTGTTTGAGGTAAAGGGCTTAAATAGATTTTAATAAAATTTTAGATCATCCTCATACAAATTCTTTAGATTTAGTTATGATTTTTTAAAGTTTAGCAAAAATTCTAAACTTACTCAATGAACTGTAACTTGATGATGATTTTTACAAATTTTAATTATTGGATTTCAAATTCCATTTCAGCCAAATCATATTGCTTCTAATTACAAAACAAAGGTGTTAAAAATGAGGATGTAACGTCACGTTTTTGGGTGTCATTTAATTTTTTTTTTAGTTTCATTATTATAATTTGTAATTGTTTTCTTTAATGTATTTAAATATGTTTTTTTATATATAATAAATAAGAAAATACAACTCCAAACTTGTCTGCAATTTAATGTTATTTTGATATAAAACTTATTCAATCACACAAAAATGGAACAATGACAATAAAATCTCTCTGAATTATATAAATGACAATCTGATATCTCAAAATGTCATAATTCTATTGAAGCTCCTATAGACCTCTTTGTTAATAAATTTTAAATTGAAAATACCATTTTACCCTTAATGACAAGTTGTAATTTTTTGTTCAATTCTTGCAATTTTTTTAAATAAAAGTGAATCTTTAAACAAAAGTTGTGAATAGATTTGTTATTTTGAGAACTTATTTTTTAATAATAAAAATTACACTTAACAAATTGTACTTTCTTGTTTAATTTTTGTAATTCATAGAGCAAAAGTTATAATTGGGGTTTATTTTTTAATAATAGAAATTACACTTGACAAGTAATTTCTTTTTAACTTTTGCAATTTACCCAAAAAAAAGCTGTGATTCCTTAAACAAGTTGTGACAAGGGCTTATTATTTTTAGTAAGGGAAAGATGATCTTTTCACTTTAAAATTTACTGACATAGAGGTTCCTGGGGATTTCATTGGAATTATGACATTTTGAGGGACCAACTTGTTTTTTATATAATTCAGAGGGATTTTATAGTCATTTTTCCTACAAAATTATCATTATCATTAAATCTAGTATGTCTAAGAATAAGTCTAACAATTATGTTAAATATAAAAAAAATAATTTTAAGTAATGCTTGTTTTAACCTCATGATTTAATTATTTCGCAAGATAAAAAATTTTAAAAAAATAAGTTAAACTGATAAAGAAACAAAAGTATAAAAATAAAGTTCACAGGAGACGCATAAAATTTAAAAATAAAAGTAATGGCATATTAGATTTACTCCATTTTAATATTAATAAACAACATGAAATTATGAATGAAGTAATGAAATGCAAAATTCTATTTTCGATATACTCCATTTCGAAAAAGAGATTAAAAGAAAAGAAAACATAAGTATAATCAAGTACATCCTTGCAAATGAGTTACCATCCAAATCCAAATATAATTGTTTTAATGATATATATAATAAAATTTACATATAATGAATAAGAAAATGCACAACTCCAAACTTATCTGTAGTTTAATGTAAGTTTAAAATTAAACTTACACATTGTTACAAAAACTATAAAATGTTATTAACTCTAGTATCATGTATAATACAGAACAAGATGTAATGATTGAGCTTGGGATATAAGAGCTTACAATGAAATGCCATGGTTAGAAGATTTACTTTTAAAAAAATTTAAGATTTTTACACAGTAATTATTGATATAAGATTATAAGTAATGATACATAGTAAAATGTCAATCTTGTTATGGTATAATTGGAGTTATATTTATTAATTTTTGTTATTTCTCATGAAGTCACATCAAGCAATCTAGGTAAATAATACTACCCACCATTTTATTTTCTTTTACTATGTATATGAGATTTTTTGTTTGTTAAAAGTTAAATATTTTCATTGCTACACAGTGACAAAGTACATACATATTTACAATGCATTTGACAACATGAAATGTGATAGCAAAATTAAAAACAAAAACAAGAAAAGCTTGCTTTAGTATATTGGTAAAAGCATGTGCAGTGGAAACAAAAATTCAAAACTCATCCACGTATGTAGATATATCATGAATATAATTAAACTTACTGGTAAAAAACAAGAAAAATTGCATTCGAAAGGAAAATGTAGGGAAAATGAAAAAAAAAAGGCATGAGATAAGCATCAAAGTCCAAGGGGTCCTTTCTATTATCCCAATCAAATTATGTCATTATAGTGAAATCAAATAACGTAGATATTACAAATCATCAAAATTAAACATTCCTATAAGTTTATTGTCACCTGTAAGTAATAAAATCCTTTAAAATATAATCCTTTTGCATTTGGAAAAAGTTTCCATACTATAACTGATTTAAAATTTTATTTCACCGTTACGTAAGTCTGTCTCATCAAAACATATGTGTGTAAACAAAATGATCTCATTTCAAATTTATTTATATCCAATATATTAGGAAGAAAAACAAGCACCCATTCACCCCAACAGCCCAATCACATACGTCTATGTGTAGGGACATATATGTAATAGCACCAAAGTATAATTCTTTATATCATATGTGTGATTTAATCCACAATAACTTTGGAACTAAATAATCTAATATTCTAATATGAAGCTAGCTCACATTTTATTCATAATCACTTTGGGAAAAACACACATATGTACACAAGTGCATACCTGTAAATGAGTTGGACTCCAAATATAATTCTTTCAAAGATGTGCAGTTACTTATTGATTTTGGAATGCTTCCCTTTAAATAATTATCTTCAACAGCCAAGATTTCCAGCAAAGGGAGTTGATGACACATTTCTTCTGGCAAATTGCCATTTAAATGATTCCCTCCAAGGTTAACCTCCCTCAAAGAAGGCATGCTCCAAAGAAATGAAGGAATTTCACCTAAAAAAGGAAAAATATTTAATTTATTCAATCGTTTAGACAAACTAGCTTATGTTTCAGGAATGAAAATATCTTCCGTTTAAACTGTTGGAGAGGGGTACATTAAAAGCATGCGTAATAATAGACAGCGAAAGCTTTTTAACAGAAGCTCTCACAATGCTTTTTAATAGGTAGCAAAGACTAATCTTTCCCAAGTAAAAGTAGATCATTCCAAATTAACTTGCTCTCTAGGCACGTAGGAACCAGAATTTGAACCCTTGATCATTTTATTTAATAAATAATTTATTATCACACGCACATACTATTCAACGTAATTTAATCAACATTAGTAATCTTATTCTAAATAAATGGATGTACGAAAATCGTAAATTTGGACCCTTCTAAGTTCTAACATGTTATGATCTCTAAAACGACAAGAACGGCACCCGCCCACCACCATCCACCAAGTGCCGTCTGCTGGATTCTTTCTCCTCCTTCTTCTTCTCCCTCCTGAATAATTAATGACATGTAATTTTTTTTCCAATTTCATGGTTTATTATTTAGCATCACGTCCAATATATTAATTTCAATTTTTTAATATATTTTCTAAACAACGCTCACTACTCATCGCTGAACCCCGGAACCTGGACCATTCAATGTGCCACTTCAATGTTTGCACGTCAGCACGTAGCCTCGTATTCCCCATTGCTAGAACATTAATTATGATATTTTTTATTTTATAAATAAATAAAAATTTAATCAGATTTATACCTTATGCTGTGCACAAAATTATTGGAGAAGGGAAGTAGAAATGAGATTTTTCATGAGTTTGATTAAAATATGGACGAGTTTGAACATTTTAACTGAGCATCTTACATTTTATCTTTGCAAAAAGAAAAATTAATCTGACTTTTCCATTTTTATGAGAGAAGCTCTCACAATGCTTTTTAAACACTAAATAGATATAGGTGTCTTAAAAAGAATAAAAAATAATGTATAATAATCGAATTAAACATAAAAGCTTTGTGAAATCTATTAATTGACAGCGTGAAATCTTCTAAGATTTCAAAGAATATAATGTAACGTGAAATCATATTGCTTCTAATTACAAAACAAAGGTGTTAAAAATTAGGATGTAACGTCACGTTTTTGGGTGTCATTTAATTTTTTCTTAGTTTCGTTATTATAATTGTAATTGTTTTCTTTAATGTATTTAAATATGTTTTTTATATATAATAAATAAGAAAGATACAACTCCAAACTTGTCTGCAATTTAATGTTATTTTGATATAAAACTTATTCAATCATACAAAAATGGAAAAATGACAATAAAATCCCTCTGAATTATATAACTGACAATCTGATATCTCAAAGTGTCATAATTCTACTAAAGCTCCTATAGACCTCTTTGTTAATAAATTTTAAATTGAAAAGACCATTTTACCTTTAATGACAAGTTGTAATTTTTTGTTCAATTTTTGCGATTCTTTAAATAAAAGTAAATCTTTAAACAAAAGTTGTGAATGAGATTGTTATTTTGAGAACTTATTTTTTAATAATAAAATTACACTTAACAAATTGTACTCTCTTTTTTAATTTTTATAATTCATAGAGCAAAAGTTATGATTGGGGTTGTTTTTTAATAATAGAAATTACACTTGACAACTAATTTCTTGTTAACTCTTGCAATTTACCAAAAAAAAAAAAGTTGTGATTCCTTAAACAAGTTGTGACTAGGGCTTGTTATTTTTAGCATTGAAAGGTAGAATCAGTCTTGAAAAAGAGCAACTTAAGTGAATGTAATAAATGTATCAGTTGGCCCAATCAGAGTCCTGTTTCTTATTTTTCTGATCTAGAGGTATCGTCAAGGTTTTAATTGAGTGAAGAATCATGTCAAAATCAGTTTTGTATAATTAGTTATGAATTTTTACGGTTAAAGCACAGATTCTGTCCAAGAAACAGAGCAAGTTTAGAAAAGCAGTAAACTGTATTGTTTGGAATTAGTAAAAAAGCCACAAGTATATTTGTTTGAGGTAAAGGCTTATAATAGATTTCAATAAAATTTTAGATCATCCTCATACAAATTCTCTAAATTTAGTTATGATTTTTTTTAAAGTTCAGTAAAAATTCTAAACTTACTCAATGAACTGTTCACTCAATGATTTTTTTACAAATTTTAATTCTTGGATTTCAAAATTCCATTTCAGCCAAATCATATTGCTTCTAATTACAAAACAAAAGGTGTTGAAAACGAGGATGTAACGTCACGTTTTTGGGTGTCATTTAATTTTTTTAAAATTTCATTATTATAATTTGTAATTGATTTCTTAATGTATTTAAGTATTTTTTTGTTTATATATAATAAATAAGAAAATACAACTCCAAACTTGTCCGTATTTTAACGTAAGTTCAATATTAAATTTACACATTCTTACAAAAATTATCGATGTTATTAACTCTGGTATCATATATAATAAGGGACAAGAAGATGTAATGATTGGGCTAGGGACATGTAGGCTTACATTGAAATGCTATGGTTAGAAGATTTACTTTTAAAAAAATTTAAGCTTTGATACAGTAATTATTGATATAAGATTATAAGTAATGATACATAATAAAATGTCAATGTTGTTATGGTATATTGGAGTTATATTTATTAATTTTTTGTTATTTCTCATGAAGTCACATCAAGCAATCTAGGTAATAATACTACCCACCATTTTATTTTCTTTTACTATGTATATGAGATTTTTTTGTTTGTTAAGAGTTAAATATTTTGACTGCTATACAAGTGACAAAGTACATACATATTTACAATGCATTTGACAACATGAAATGTGGTAGCAAAATTAAAAAACAAAAACAAGAAAAGCTTCTTTTAGTATATTGGTAAAAGTGTGTATTAGAAACAAAAATTCAAAACTCATCCACGTATGTAGATATATCATGAATATAATTAAACTTACTGGTACAAAACAAGAAAAATGGCATTCGAAAGAAAAATGTTGGGGAAAATGAAAAATAAAAGGCATGAGATAAGCATCAAAATCCAAGTGGTCCTTTCTATTATCCCAATCAAATTATATCATTATAGTGAAAACAAATAACGTAGATTTACCAATCATCAAAACTAAACATTCCTATAAGTTTATTGTCACTGTAAGTAATATAATCCTTTAAAATATAATCCTTCCAGGATGTGTAGTTACCTTTGTATTTGGAAAAAAGTTTCCATAATATAACTGATTTAAATGTTATTTCACCATTACGTAAGTCTGTGTCTCGTCAAAATATATGTATGCGTAAAAAAAATGATCTCATTTTAAATTTATTTATATCCAATAGATTAGGAAGAAAAACAAGCACCCATTCACCCCAACAGCCCAATCACATACATCTATGTATGGGGACATATATGTAATAGCACCAAAGTTTAATTCTTCATATCATATATGTTATTTAATCCATAATCACTTTGGAATTAAATAATCTAATATTTTAATCCAGAGCTAATTCACATTTTATTCATAAACCACTTTGGGGAAAACACAACATGTACACAAGTGCATACCTGTAAATGAGTTGTAGTCCAAATATAATCTTTCTAAAGATGTGCAGTTACTTATTGATTTTGGAAGATTCCCTCTAAATAATTATGCTATCAACAGCCAAGATTTCCAGCAAAGGGAGTTGATGACACATTTCTTCTGGCAAATTGCCATTTAAATGATTCCCTCCAAGGTTAACCTCTCTTAAAGAAGACATGCTCCAAGAAATGAAGGAATTTCACCTAAGAAAAAGAAAATATTTAATTATTTAATCATTTAGACAAACTAGCTTATGCTTTAGGGATGAAAATATCTTCCATTTAAGCTATTGGAGGCAGTATAGAATAAGCACTGCATGTGTAGATTAATTTGACGGGTACATTAAAGCATGCATCATAATAGACAGTGAAAGCTTTCTAACAGAAGCTCTCACAATGCTTTTTAATAGGTAGCATAAACTAATTTTTCCCAAGTAAATGTAGATCATTCCAAATTAACTTGCTCTCTAGGTACGTAAGAACTAGAATTTGAACCCTTGATCATTTTATTTATTAGATAATTTATTCATACACCACATACTATTCAACGTAATTTAATCAACATTAGTAATCTTATTCTAAATAAATGGATGTACAGAAAGTGGTAAATTTGGACCCTTCTAAGTTCTAACATGTTATGATTGTAAAATGACAAGAACGGCACTCGCCCACCACCATCCACCCAAGTGCCCGTCACGCAATCACTGCTAGATTCTTCATGAATAATTAATGAACGTGTATATTTTTTCAATTTCATGTTTTTTAATTCAAATGCATCAAATATATTTATTTTAATTTTTGATATATTTTCTAAGGAATGCTCATTACTCATCGCCGAACCCCGGAACCTGGACCATTCAATGTGCCACTTCTATGTTTGCACATCAGCACATAGCCACATATCCCCCGTTGTATAACATTAATTATGATATTTTATTTATTAAATAAATAATAATTTAACCAGATTTTATACCTCATGCCATGCACAAAATTATTGGAGAAGGGAAGAAGAAATGAGCACAAAATTATTGGAGAAGGAAAAGAAATGAGATTTTCATGAGTTTGATTAAAATATGGACGAGTTTGAACATTTTAATTAAACATCTTACATTTTATCTTTGTAAAAAAAAAAAAAAATAATCTGACTTTTTCATTTTATGAGAGAAGCTCTCACAATGCTTTTTAACACTAAAAAGATATAGGTGTCTAAAAAGAATAAAAAATAATATTAATAATAAAAGTAAACTAAAAGCTTTAAAATCTTTTAATTGACAGCATGACATCTTCTAAGATTTCAAAAAATATAATGTATAAACTAGAGAGAGAGAATAAGCAGATACCATATTATATATATATATATATCTTTATGAGAGAATTAAATGTACCATCAAAATTACTTTGCCACAATACTCTTCCTGTGAAGAGAGTGTCACGA